ATTGTTAAATCTGAAAGCTTCAAAAAAATATTGCAAGAACCAAATAAATTATTCGATTCTCAATTATTCAACATGAAAAGACTCTAATATCACTTGTAGAATAATTTATCATTTTAAACCATCGGATCTTTCATGTTAAATCATCAAGAAATACATAAATTATAGCGGAAGCGAACCTGAATCAAACATGGTTATTTGCAATAATTGAATCCTGCGATATAGTCTTCCAAATCTACATGCAGTTCGTAATTCTCCCTGACGATGGGAGACAGAATAGAATGAGCACAAGATACGTGTGATTTGGGGACCATAACCGTATTTAAATAGCGATATCCTTTGACTTAATTTGGCCCATCATAGAATTAGGACTTGGGCCCGGTCTCTATACATATAGAACACATACTTTAATTGGATACATTAAAGTAAAAAATCGAAGCCTTATTAGATTACTTTAATTAGGCTCAACCGAATTCGATAGCCTCTAATTTAATGCATAATTATTCACACATATAAGTCCATCTATTGATCAAAATTCTTACACCCTAGGCCAAAACAAGTTACTTGCACTGGCATCACAATACACAAAAAAGGTGATTTCCTGATAAAAAAGATCAATAATATGCAGAAAATTGGGGCATGTCATGAAGATTTTCTTTCCTTCGCAGCCTATTTCTTCCATTCAATCTCTTCGTCTCGAATCTATGCTGTAGACTTGGTTGAAGCTAAAACTCGAGTCCCACTGAAAACTGTGATCACGATTTGTCACATGGATACCTTAGAATGGCCTGAGAATCATGTAGCTTTCAAGATACTAAATTCTCCATTGGAGAAGGCGAAGCATGTCACTGAATGTCGAACATTGATCTTGCATGGATTGCAGATGATTAGATTTTATGATGTTGAAACGTTTGTAGTAAACCTGGAGCAATGAGTTGGTGTAGTTCTGAGCAGTATAGGAAACTCGATCTCCATGAATTGTACAAGTTTTAAAATTGTGCAAGTTTGTACAAGAAAGAAAAGCTCTATTATCATCATCTCATTATAAAACAAATTGAGATGGGCAGAGGTGATTGGATTTCAATGTGTGGATTTCAGTTAGAAAACCAGAGAGTAAAATCTTGTATTGTGTTTGAATCTCAAATAAATTAAGTCAAGGTCAACAATTAATTTTAATCACAAATTTCATGGTATCACAATTTTTCAATCGTATATTTTATCAACTTTTATTAAAATCTACTGAAAATCTGATTTTATTCCCCACCAAGTGGGCTAAGTCAATTTTCATATCTTCGGCTAAAATAACTCTTCTTTAAAGTAAACCGCTAATTTGTACCTATTGCTCCTTGGGCCATAAATTGAGGACTAATTGTGCAAAATTTTCATTTGTATTGTCTTATTTGAAAAATTATACCCAATTTGTTTTCTAAATAATAAGTTGGTCATCAACCTTTATAAAAGAATAAGTTGAACCTCAGCCTTCTGTAATTGTACAGAAGCCAACAAAGAGAACCGTCAATATATTCATTAAACTCATCTTGAAGTCTATATATCTCACTTTATGAAGCTAGTTTTGTTTCTTACCTTGATTTAGCGTGCAGAATTTAAACTTATTAGTATTTTTGTGAAGACTACAAGATGATTAATTTTGGTCAATAATTAGGATGCTACTTTTTGAATTTTGTAAATAATAAGCTTGTGGATTGATAATTCAATTCGAAGAACTTGGGAATTTTTTATGGATTACGTTGACCTCAAAATTCAGCGATTGGTCAACGGATCTCGATTACCTCCTCACTCACCTACGCATCACCCACTCATTGAAACACACCGTTTGAGTACAAAAGTCACAATTTTATTGAATGAGAGGAAAATTTTTTGAGTTCACTTGTAGAATATTTTAGTTTATAAATGTGTGATTGAAATTGAATATATAGAAAAATGAGTTTAGAATGAACGAGAGGAAAAAAAGGAGTTAAATGACATTTCATCATAAAAAACCTTTATTTAATAGAAAGTTACATGACCAAAATTCAATCTAAACAAAGAAAATTCTTATCCAGTCTGTTATACATGTAAATTATATGATGCCAGAATAGAACCCGTGGAAATTATAGTGGGCAAATTTTTAAAGATTGTACTTCAAAATCAGATTTAAGGTTTATTTATCTATAAATCAGGTGATAATTCAATTATTAATATTAGATAATTGCAGCTAAGACCCAAACTTTTCAAAAAGTTACATACTTTTTCCTAACCTTTCATTTGTGACATCTGTCACCCCAAACCTTTCAAAACGTTGCGAACGAAGACCCAATGGACGGATTCCATCCATATTTCTGTTAGTTGATCGAAAAAATGAACTTTGACAACATATTAATCAATTATAAGGGGACAAAATGATAACTTTATATTTTTCACATTAGAAAACTTAAATAAAAACAACAAAAAAAGAATAAAGAAGAAAATAAAATAAAATGGAAAACGAAAATCTTCTTCTCCCCCACCTTCACTCCCAATGCCCACCCCCACCCTAACCCCAACCCTAACCCATAATCGGAAATTTTAATTCTGTTTTTCCCTCGTCCCTTGCTTTCAACCATCGATGAAGGCCACCATTATTACCCTGCCTTTAGCCATCGTCGAAAAAACCATCAACCAAAACTACCACCATTCCCCTGCCCTTCATCCATCGCCCAAATTTGCCACCATTTCCGTTCCTTTAGTTGACCATCAACATCATCAATTTCTCCATCAACATACCTCGAACCCCCATCAACATCATCAAAATGGTAGGTTAAACCTTGAGCAAAATGGCAGTAGCTTTGGCTAGCTGTAGCCACCATGAATTCATAGCAAAAAAGGGCAGAAAACTTGAGATTAAATAGAAGAAATTAGTGATAGAGTGCGTGAAATTACCTCATCTTTTGCCATTGTTGTGTCGAAATGGGAATTGAAAAGTTTCCTTATTCGAGTCGAATTACAGACCACAACTTGGGTCTGTTGAAGTCCCTTCCATGAGGTTAGGATGGTTGTTGGTGGCGGTGGATTTCCAATTTTGGGTTTGGATTGAGGTTGGGGTGGGCGTTGGGGGTGAAGGTGAGGGAGAAGAAGATTTTCATTTTCCTTTTTATTTTGTTTTCTTCTTTATTCTTTTTTTGTTGTTTTTATTTAAGTTTTCTAATGTGAAAAATATAAAGTTATCATTTTGTCCCCTTATAATTGATTAATATGTTGTCAAAGTTCATTTTTTCGATCAACTAACAGAAATATGGATGGAATCCGTCCATTGGGTCTTCGTTCGCAACGTTTTGAAAGGTTTGGGGTGACAGATGTCACAAATGAAAGGTTAGGAAAAAGTATGTAACTTTTTGAAAAGTTTGGGTCTTAGCTGCAATTATCTAATATTAATAATTGAATTATCACCTGATTTATAGATAAATAAACCTTAAATCTGATTTTGAAGTACAATCTTTAAAAATTTGCCCACTATAATTTCCGCGGGTTCTATTCTGGCATGTGTACATCATATAATTTACATGTATAACAGACTGGTTAAGAATTTTCTCTGTTTAGATTGAATTTTGGCCATGTAACTCTCTATTAAATCAAGGTTTTTTTATGATGAAATGTCATTTAGCCCCTTTTTTCTCTCGTTCATTCTAAACTCATTTTTCAATATATTCAATTTCAATCACATTTATAAAATAAAATATTCTACAAGTAAACTCAAAAAAATTTACTATTTTTAACCACATATTTTCTAAAAAATCACTATTAAAGACTTTTTTTTCCCAAAAAATGGCCATCAAGTCGGGGCTTAATGTAGTATCATAGATTTCAAAGATCTTGAATTTTAGTCTTGTACTTAAAATATTTAAGTGAAGTTTACCTATACGCCATATTCGCCGTTAAATTATTATTATTTTTTTCCAATGTTACTATGTTGTATTTCTTGGATATTACATGATTCGTTATATGTAACATACTGTATTTCACGTTTTGTTAATTTGTTACATATGACATATTGTGTTACACTCGTCTGCCCTTTATTTCCAATACTTCGGCCTTCTACAACTACCATATTTTAGGGACTCAGGTCTGTCTCTTGTCCTTGAGCCTTTTTAATCATGGAATTGATGTCATCGGTTGATTATTGATGTTGTCACTGGATCATTAGCTGTTATAATTTGATGTACAATATCGTAAATAGGGGCAGATGGAGGGAAAGCCCATGCCTGCCCTAGGCTCAATTCCTTTTTTTTAGGTAACATTTTTTTTTTTCTATGTATCAGTTCAGCATAAATTTTTTTGTCCACCTGACTCCGTCTTTGATTGCCAATAACTAACTGTTGAAACTGTGAGTTTTAGAAGGTGTGAATGCTTCTTGCATTTAGATGTGTTCTTACTTTTACAATTAAGCCCTTGTTTGACAATTATTAAAATGCGTTTTTTGGGAAAAAAACAATCTTGGAATAATGACTTTTTTGAAAAATGTGTGGTTAAAAAATTGAAAAAAAAATTGGATTTAAGTGTTGAATATTATTTTGTAAAAACGTGTAAGTGAAAATGAGTTTGAGAAATTTTTATTTATTTATTTTTTAATGGTTGTCAAACGGGGCTAAACAAGCAATAAAAATCACAAACCTATAAATTTGTTAGGTCAGCAAATCCTTTTCATGGCTTCTTTCATTTTTTGCTCTCTTTATTGGAATATTGAAAGCAATCAAATACTTCCCAACATACAATGTTAATTTTGATCTATGACTTCATATGCACCGTTTTATTGAACAAAAGCTTTAGGCTTATACAAGTCAATATTCAATCATTAAGTCGTTATTTTCTTCGTTTATCCTTAATTTTTACCACCTTTCACTTATTGACCATATATATTCTCACTTTTTGGTATTCATTTTACAATAAAGCTACTTGAACCAACTGAAATCCAGGGTTGAATACAGGGATTTGAAAAGTCCAAATTATTATGGAGGGAACCGAGATAGCTACTGTTGGCTTTGGAGGGAAGTTTAAGCATAATCAACAATTATTCTACAGTGCACTTATTCTTTGGCTGAACGAAAAAAAGCATATGGAAACTCCCGTCTTCACAAATCGGTAACTCCCATTAACAGAAATCTTCATCTTCACACATCCAAATTTCGTCCAATATTAACAAATCTTCGACCGTCTCTATGCATCACATTTGTGAAGATAATATCAGGAAACCCGTTATAACGACGGCGGCGGTGCTCGGAAATCAAATGCCCGGTTCTCCGGTAAGGATTCTGGCGTGGTAGCCACTTTCTCCTTAATGAAAACATCTTCCTCTTGCTTTAATTATAAAGGGGAAAATGGGAGACTGTGATGGTGAAATTGTAATTATAAAGGGGAAAAGGGGAGACATAGTAATGGTGAAATTGTTAGGGTTTTGTGCACCAATTGAAAGCCTGCATGTCAATTTCAGTTTTTGCTACATTAGCTTTTCAGGTCTTCTATTCTTTTAATAAATGATAACCGTTAGCTTTTCCCACAATTGAAAGCTCGTTCTTTTAATAATGAAAATTGACTGTGATTACGTTATGGTGCATTTGATTACTTGTGGATGCTTCTTGCTTTGGTATATCAAAATTGAATTCGATTTGTAACAGGATTTGGCTCTTGGAACCTTGTTGATGAGACCAACAGTTTTAGCAGAACTTGAGAAAGAAATCGCTCTTTTAGAAGAGAACTATGGTTCGGTTCCGCATGTTTATTTGATTTGTGAAAATGATATTGTTACACACCAGAGATTCCAAAACTGTGTTATACACCAGAGATTCCAGAACTGTGATGAGGTGAAAATGATTTCTGGTGCAGATCACATGGCGATGTTCTCTAAACCCAAAGAACTGTGTTTCTTCCTGCAAGAGAGAGCAGAAAAATACTGATTCCTATACCAATTTCTTTCTTTCCTCGTTTTTTCCCCCTTTTTTTGGGTTGTAGGATGTAAGTTCCTGATTTTGAGATCACATCATTGTCTGATTGTCGTGTTGTCTTTGCCCGTGACTCAAGAAAAAAATTGTTTATTGAATGAATAATCTGAATTTATTGTGCATCTTGTTCTTGTTCCTTTTTCGTCAATAATTCATCTTGTTCTTGGTCTAAATCTTTGATCTCCTTCACCACTTTCACTGGGTGCCAGCAATGAGGAACAGGATCCTTGGCAAAATCATGCAGTTGGTACAATGGCAGAACATTCAACATTGCACACTTTATTCCAATTCCAATGTGCACTTGTAAATAACCTTCAGTGGGTCTGTTTTCGTTTATAATGGTTTGGTATGTTTTAGTCATATTTTTACCTTCATAGTGTTCAATTAAGCAGTCCTTAAATAGCAGGGATGTTGAGGAACAGTAAGAAAAGATTTGGCATAAAGATACTACAAAAAGATAAACTTGAACATCATTCTGGAACAAATAACAGAAAACAAAGAAATTGAAAGAATGTTTACCAAGAAACGTGGATTTTAACAAAGATATTGCTTGTGTGCGCTTCACTGTTGTCCAGTTAAAATCATAACATTTTGCACAAGAAACGTGGGTTTTAACATTCTTCACAAATCATAACTTCGAAGCTTCGAACAAGAACAATGGATTTTAACACTGTCTAGCTACATTGAACTGCCAAAACAATTTTACCCAACAATAGAACACAAAAGATGTAATTGCCTAAATCTCCATGTGATAGGCCGTTTGATTAATTCCTGCTACTCATGCTGGCCCCTTTCCTTTGGCCTTTCCTTCCACACTACCATTCACTTCGCTAATTGTCACGGTCATCAAAATTCATAGTTCTTCTTCATCATTGAGACGAACTCGAGAGATTGGAACATGCGTTCCTTATCTTCAACTCTTTCGTTCGTCCATTCTATGAGGGGAACATGCATTCCATATCTTCATGCTGACCCCTTAGCTATACAACTACGACAAATTCCATAATTTTGTCTGCCCACTCTACAAGGAGAATAAAGCACAGATCACGGTCAATTCAAATAAATAAGTAGAGGTAAAACACGCATTAATGATCCAATTGGAACTTGAAACTCTAAAAGAGTAATCACACATCATATAAGCCAATTAAAATTCATTTTAAGAAATCAAGAAACAGAGAAGCTCATTTAGTGGAAGAGTATTTTAATGTTTTAAATTTGTTCGGCAGGTGGTGGAATACGAACATACAATTAAGCACAACATAGGGGACCTTCATCAACATGTCCGTAATATGAAAACAAATTAAAGTACGTCTTGAGAATTTTCAATTCAGTGTAAGCCTTCCATTACGTACAAAAACAATACCATTTACTAAAATTGGAAAAGGGAGAAAATTAGAACTTCCCCTTAGGTTTGAATCTGCAAAATTGTTAAAACACAATTTGTATCAATAAAGCCAGTAAGAAAATGATTGTTATTGAGATTATGCGTTTTTTCAATACGTTTATTCATCAACACGACAAAAGAAAACTACGCTGCAATGAATAATTGAATAACAGTAAAGTGAGAGAGAGACGAGCATAACCTGTAAAGTATGAGAGGCTAAAATAGGGGAGAAAAAATTAATTCAAACAACGAGAAGCACCACCGTTTCTTTTCGTCTATATGAAATTATGACTACAACGATAGATTAGTTTTCACACAGTGTTCTAGCATGCGGCCGGAGATAAAGCGGGAGGTGGTGAAACCATGGCCCGAAGTGCGGCCAAAGCTGAGGCAAAACCTTTGGTTGAAGTGCGGTTGGAGAATGTGAACCGTCCAGTGGTGAAACAGTCGACGAAATTGCTGCCGAAGCCACGAAGATATCTCCGATTGCAGGGCTGCCGGAGATGGTGAGGCGACGACACAGTACGGACTCTGATTTTCGATTTTGGGAGAAACGTGGCTTGTGGGTCACGGTTGGTGTAGACAGATTTGGGGAAGACAGCTGCGTTTTTAAAGTGCCACGTCAGCCTGGACTCAACCCTGTTTTCTACCCTGTGCGTGTAGCGGAACTGTTCATTTTAATATGGCTATGGATATATCTTAACTTTATAAATTTCGCTATGTTCGACTTACACGCAGTTGACTTAAACATTTCGTTTAAGTAAGAGTAACGTCATATAGCATAATTGATTCTAAAACATAAATCTACGCGAGATCACATGTCAATTAAATGAATTCGGCATCCCTACTTTTAATTAGACCAATCATTTAATGTTAGGTATTGTCGAGTTCAACATTATTTTTGAATGTATTTGTATTCATGCTTTTATACTTATTGTTGTCTTTCCATTTTTTATTAAAGTTTGTTTGGAAAGTGTTCATAAATTATTTAATTTATGAATAGGTAAAAATGAATGATGAATGAGTGTTCAGTACTTGTCAAGCATACAAGTTGGTGAATTGTGTTAAAAGTGCATATTAAAGGGTAAAACTCATCATGTCCTTTTTTGTCATTTCGTCTTTCACGTACTTGCGTACGTGGGATTGACAACAGCATGGTAAATCTACAAGTTTTATTTTTATAGAAGATCGTGCCACTGCTAGCACTTGGATTTTCGTAAAGCAAAAGTTATCTTGAATCGATGAATGGACAAAAAGTAAATAGATAAATAGATGATTGAATCTTGAATGGTACTAATTATTAGAAATAACTTCAATGAGTGAATCTCGATAAAACTTTTTATTTTTTATTCACAAAAAAATAAAATAAAATGAAACTAAAGAACCACTTGAAATAAATTGACGCTAGTTGTTATATTTTTAAAAGATATATTTACAAAATATGTATTAAATCGAGATAAACTTGTCTGTTCCAAGACTTGTTAATTCAAGTTTGCATGTGGGCAAAGTCGAGAAAGACTTGTGTTGTGTACCTTTGACTACCAAGGTCCAAATCTTTGTCTACTTCATATACAAAACCATAAATAGAGTTTGGTTAATAAAAAGTATGTTACTTGTTTGCATCTTATTCCAAACCTTTTAAATTATATATAATTTAGAAAAAAATAACTTATCTAATTATATTTCAAAATAATTATTCAATTAAATGTTTGATTGACTTACTCTTATATTTAACCAGATATGCACATATACAAGAATAGACATACTCTACAAGACTATGAAGTCGCCAAGTTACAGGTCTGCCCTAGACCAAAACCAAACACCATGATCAAGGAACATAAATTGACCTAAAACCAAACACATGCTCGACAACATGCCGACCTGACCCGAACCATGACCACCACCAACTTGAAAATCCAATTTCAACACCCGAAGCCATGAATTCGCTTGAAATTTGGTAAAAAAAAATAGTTTTCAAAAAAAAAGTATTTTCTAATAAAAATGCTTAAAAGTAAAATTGAAATTTAAGAAATGAGCAATCCGCTTAATTTCCACAATATTATAATCACACTACATAATTATAAGAAAATAATTGGAACTCACTATTTTATCCATCATTTCATATCTACACACTTTAAATAATAATAATAATAATAATAATAATAATAATAATAATAATAATAATCTATACTACATTTTAACCTGATGTAAATTTAATTAAATGTACTTATGGTAGAAGAAAATAGCAATAATTTCTTATCCACATGATTTGCTTTCTTAAATCCTTGTGCACAAACATGCATCATATTTCTTTGATCTACTAGTGAGTGAACGTGTGTTTCACTTTTACTGGTTAATGTTTGACATAAGTGTGTGTAAATTTTAGAAATATTCATTTATAAATCTGAAAGGTATTCATAAATTCGTTGAAATTGACTTCTTTTTTTTTTTTTTTTTTTTTTTTTTTGCTAATTTCTCTGTATATTTTTTATTCTTCATATGAAGATTTGAGGGTTTGAATATATTTTGTACCAGACATTTTCCTGTACAAAAATTTGTGGGAAATTTTTTTATGCAGAGTATAGTTTTTTATATATAATAGTTCAGCCTAAAATATGATTTAACCCACTCAAGCTTTGCCCTAATCCATACTATGTATATAATAATTAAATATCACCACGATATACAACATAACAATATCAAAAATGGTTTTTAATGTTGACATGCAACAAGCAGAATTCTACATTATAGTTTAATATGTTAAATGCAATTTCATGTATCAAGGACCTGATTTTGTTATCATTGAAGCTTGACTGTAAAATTGCAAAAACATAAGTAGAACATTAGAAAATAATGTAGACACGGGCATAACCATAAAGGAAAAAACATCTACAAACTTTTAAAAGTTTAATTAAAAAAATTTTAAATCGTACAAAAAATATTTATAATATGAAGAAAAAAGAAATTTTAAAATACTTTTCGAAAAATATAATAAAAACAAAGCAAAATAAACCAAAGAAAGTTACGAAAATTAAATAAAGAATATATAAATATTATTTAATTAAAATTGAAAAAAATTAATTTTTATCTTTAAATTGAAAAAAATTTATTTATAAAATGAATAAAATAAATTAAAAAAAAAAACGAAACCTGAAAACCTCCTGGATGGAGATCTCCAATCATGGATGGAGGTTTTGGAGCTCCAATCCAAACCTCCTACTACCTATACCTTCAATTATAAAGCATTATTAGAATTTTAACTTTTAATTAATGACTAACAGTATGATGTTGTAGGAAAATATGAAACTTTGGGTTAATTAAACAAAATAGATCTCCACCAGAGAGAATTCATAATTTCATCACACAAGAATGATACTGATCAAAGTAATTATCCATTAACACCTTTAAATGGAAACTAGATTAAAAGACACTCAATGTCTTAAACATAATGCTTAATCCAAAATTCATATGATAGACCCAACATAATGCTTAATCTAATTATGAAATGATGTTGTAGAATTTCCTTTTTTTTTTTTTTTTTTTTATATTAAAGCTTGTTTTGAAAGTGTTTCTAAACTATTTAATTTTTAAATAGATAAAAACGTATGATGGATAAGTGGACAGTACTTGTCAAACATATAAGTTGGTGAATTGTCCTTTTTCATCTTTCTTCTTTTACGTACTTGACAAATCTATAAGTTTTATTTAATTTTATATAAGAACAAGTGGCTGCTAGCACTTGGATTCTCAAACAAACATAAGTCATCTTGAATCAGTATATGGACAATAAATAAATAGATGATTGAATCTTGAATCGTATTAATTATTAGAAATAACTTCAATAAGTGAATCTCGATACAACTTTAATTATTTTTTTATTCACAAAAAGTGAAATTAAAGAACCACTTGAAATAAATTGACGCTAGTTGTTATATTTTTAAAAGGTATTTTTACAAAATATGTATTAAATCGAGATAAACATCTGTTCCAAGACTTGTTAATTCAAATTTGCATGTGGGCAGAGTCGAGAAAGACTTGTGTTGTGTACCTTTGACTACCAAGGTCCAAACATTTGTCTACTACAGATACAAAACCATAAATAGAGTTTGGTTAATAAAAAGTATATTACTTATTTGCATCTTATTGCAAACTTTTTAAGTTATATATAATTTAGGAAAAATAACTTATCTAATTATATTCCAAAATAATTATTCAATTAAATGTTCGACTACTTATTCTTATACTTAATCAAGTATGCTCGTATACAAGGATAAATATACTCTACAAGACTAGAATGTTGTCAAGTTACAAGTCTGTCCTAGACCAAAACCAAACATCATGATCAAGGATCATAAGTCGAACTAAAACCAAACACATGCTCGACAACATGCCTGACCCGACCCGACCCGACCATGACCACCACCAACTTGAAAATCCAATTTCAACACCCAAAGCCATGAATTCGCTTAATACTCTACAAGACTAGAATGTTGTCAAGTTACAAATCTGTCCTAGACCAAAACCAAACATCATGATCAAGGATCATAAGTCGAACTAAAACCAAACACATGCTCGACAACATGCCCGACCCGACCCATGACCACCACCAACTTGAAAATCCAATTTCAACACCCAAAGCCATGAATTCGCTTAAAATTTGGTAAAAAAAAAAAAAGTAGTTTTCAAAAAAAGTATTTTCTAAATAAAAATGTTTCAAAGTAAAATTGAAATTTAAGAAATGAGCAATCCACTTAATTTCCACAATAATCACACGACATAATTATAAGAAAATAATTGGGAATCACTATTTTACATCATTCCATATCCATACACTTAAAAAAGTAGTAGTAGTAGTAGTAGTGGTATAATAATAATAATAATAATAATAATAATAATAATAATAATAATAATAATAATAATAATAATAATAATAATAATAATCTATACTACATTTTGACCTTATGTAAATTTAATTAAATGTAATTATGGTAGACGAAAATAACAATAATTTCTTATCCACATGATTTGCTTCCTTAAATCCTTGTGCACAAATATGTATCATATTTCTTTGATCTACATGCAAAAATCCATTACCTCCAGTTTTACTCTACAAGACTTCAGTATAAATATGGCCTGCAAACCATCCTTTTGGCAAACTTCTCTCTCTACCCAAGAATGGCTACTTCACAATGTCTCACTTTTCTTCTCTTTCACTTGGCCTTTTCTCTCAGCTTCACTTCTTTTGCGTCCACTCAAGTCTCTCCATCATCCATCGCTTCCGATCAGATAAAATTTTGGTCGGAAAATGTGCACAACCAAATGCCAGAGTCTATCTTTAAAAAGCTATCTCCATTAACAAAATGGGATCGTGATTATTACACAAAAATGATATCTGAAAACGACTTCTCAGAAAATCCCGACTTTTGCTCCCTTGCTAAACTCTCTTGTTCATCCGAAATCCACAATTTTGAGGCAGCAAGTAAAGCATATAGCTCAAGTATTTACAGTATCAATGTTGCATTAACTTCTCAATCCAATAAGGTAGACAAATTTTCTTACTTCAGGCTCTCAAACCTTAGAGAAGGAAATAAATTCCATCTCTCAAATTTAGTAGAAAGCTTTCCAAA